ACAAAGTATGCAGAGAAACAGATGGACTACAGTCTGTAACTGTAGAACTACAAAGTGCACCTATATAGTAAGTGGAGCTGATAAAATGGACAATGAGCATAGAAACAAGGAGGGGTCATAACGTTATGCCTGATCGGTGGTTTCTAGGCTGTGGCTGTGGTATCCCAAGTAGTTGCTAAGGTGTTGCTAGGCGGTTGCTATGCTATCCCAAGAAGATTTTTTTCCTCACCAATGTTTCAGTCCAGCCTCGATCATGCAAGACAATGGAACTGCAAAAGTGCGAATGTATTAGGTATTTTAGAGATGAGAGCTGTTGTTATGATGAGTCCCAACAAAGGCATTTACTGCTGTCTTTTATTTCCATTAATTTGCCTCAACCCAACGAACCCAGTACAAATTAGATCAAGGAATCCAATAACTGAGGAAAATGACTGGGGGCAACTTAAGTAATAGGCAGTTCATGGTTTCACTCGGAAATCATTCATCAAAAAGATTTGCCATTTCTTGTGGAGTCCCTCAAGGTTCAATCTTAGGACCTTTGCTTTTCTCTTTATACATGCTACCTTTAGATGATGTCATTAGGAAGCATAGTATAACGTTTCATAGCTATGCTGACGACACCCAGCTATACATTTCTATTCCTTCTGAAGATCGGGACTAGCAGACTAACCAGCTGTGTGTCAGATATTTCTCAGTGGATGTCGCAAAATTTTCTACAATTAAATCATGAAAAAACTGAAATACTGATCATTCATAAAGAAATTTAGAGAAAAGTGATTTATGGGAAACTTGGTTCTTCAGCTTCATCTACCAAACCTGCAGTACGAAACCTGGGTGTGATCTTAGACTCTGAACTGTTTTATTATGCATGTAAACAAAGTCACTAAAGTAGCTTTTATCATTTAAGAAATATCACTAAAGTTCGGCCTTTTCTGTCTCAGAGCGATGCAGAGAAACTTGTTCCAGCAGAGTTGATCACTGTAATGATCTTCTTACTGGACTTCCTAAGAAAACAATACATCCTTTACAACTCGTACAAAATGCAGCATCCTAACAAAAACAACACAGAGAGATCAGATCAGTCCTGTTTTAAAAGAGCTGCACTGGCTGCCTGAATCATTCAGGATAGATTTTAAAGTTCTGTGACTAGTTTTTAAAGCTCAAAATGACCTTAAAGCACCGTTTACATCACAGAGCGTCTGTCTGTTTAAGATCTTAGATCTGCAGATTCTGACCTTCAACAAACACCCTCAGTAAAATACAGAAAACGTGGAGAGACTCGTTCAGTTATTCTGCTTCTAAACTGTGGAACTCAATTCCACCTTTTATCTTCTAATTTGATCGTTTTCTTCTGATTCTAAATAAATACTAATGATTTCTTGTATAACTATGTTTTGTCATCTGTCTGTAAAGCACCTTGAGCTGCCACCGGCATTAAAAGTGCTATATAAATAAAAATTATTATTATTATTATAGTTTTGGCTAATGTAATAATAATTAATAACAGTCCTATCCACATGCAAAGGAAGTACACATCAAAATATGTGTTCTTTTTTTAAATATGTGTTTTTTTTTTATATGTGTTTGTAAAATACGTCCATATATGTTTGGCACATATGTAAACATTAAAAACGTTGGCACTATTGCATGAGTAGGAAACTTTTATTAACTAAATGACTAAAACATCCATAAAGGAATGTTGTAGAAACTCTATTACACACTTATTATACTGTTATTACCTTTATTATAAGCGTTAATGTTGTGAACTCACATCTGTACCAGAAGCTCTCCTGATTACACTCCTTAAAAACCCTCCTCTCCTCCTCTGTGGGCATGTAGTCCATCCCCAAGGGACCCTAAACATCAAAATAACAAACATTCCTGTGAGAAAACGACGCTGAAACTGGCTTTTTATTGGATTTCTTTCCGTTCCACCTTAAATGGTGCAGAAGTTCCAGGCGCCAGAACGTCAACGGCTGCACCATTTAAGGTGGAACGGAAACTCTGATCCACAGCCCACACTGACCTTCGCGCTAGCTGACTTCAGCTGTGTGGGCGTGTAATCCGTCTGCTCTGCCGGGAGCGGGGTGGTCTCCCCCGGGTGGTCCGACCCTGTAAAGCCCGATAAAGATGATCGATCCATTTTCAAACCTCTACCTTTTCCTTCAACGCCACACGCTGCTTCTTCTGCGGCGCTGTTCAAGGTGACAAGTGTGCGCCTTACTGCCACCCTGTGGTCGGACAGCGCTACGACAGGATGAAGTGGACGTGCCTATTTTACACCACAAGGTGGCAGCAAAGCTATGCATAAAAAATCGGTTTAGGGTTGCTCTGTTACACGTTTGACCTTATATATATATGTGTGTGTGCTTATATAGTCTCTGATGGGATAAACCTTGTATCCCCGATTTCTGTCTATTGTTTGTTTGTTTTTGTACATAATTTGTAAACACCAGCAACTCCGTGGAAATCTCATGATGAATGGACCAACAGAAATAATCCCAAGTTACTTGGAAAAACATCCGTGATTCCCCTTTGGGGTTAATAAAATGTGATCTTATCATACCTTATATTTTTACACGAACTGCCGTTATAATTTAACAATGTTTTTTTTCCATTTTCCTGAAAATTTACCATTTTGGACATGCAAGGTTTAGTTACGACACTGACGTAATATTATATGTGGTAATAAGAAATATGTAAGAACTAAGTAAGCACTAAGCACTGTATGTAGTAATTAGTAATAAGAAGTCTTCAGAACTCATAATGGATGTCGCTGTTGATGGAACAAAACCTCGTATCTCCAAAATGGTAACTTTACAGGAGAAGGAAAAAACCTTCTTCACTTTTAATGTAAGTCAATGGAACCAGATGTTTTTGCAGGTATTTTTGGGCCGTTTCTTTTGGTCCATTTATCATGAAATTTTGATACAATGTAAAGGGTAACAGGCATTTTCAAATTATGACAAGAACTGATTATGAAAGCAGCGACACACGCACATACATACATATATATGGCATAATGAATTCTGAACACTTCTTATTACTGAAGTTATTTAATAAATAAAGTGAAAGTGGGAATAGACATTTTTGTTCACATAAACTTCTCAATGCACACAAAATGTAAGAAAGTCCTATATAGAGATGTACAGTATATGAAAAATGATGAGTGGACCCCAAAAGTAAAATTATGGACATCGAAAATGAGCATAGTAGGTCACCTTTAACACGTCCTCTACAGAGAACACACGTAAATATGACATTTTCTGCTAGTGTTAGGCCACAACTTTAAAATATTAGAAATAAATAAAACACGAAATGTGCCGTTACTTTTGCACAGGCCACACTGTATGTTTTTTTTTCTAATACGTCAAACTCAGTAAATAAACAGTACCTGTGTATTAATAAGTATTTTCTCTGTAAAGGATGTTTTAACTTATTTTAAACCAACACATTTATCAGAAATTCAACGCAACGTGGAATTTGACAGGGGCACCAAAACTTTTGCGTACCAAATAGTGAAGACTTTTGGAGCGAAGCGTTATCTCTTCACTGCAGTGTATGGTAGTACACTGTGTTTAATGGCCAGGGTCCGCCGGCGGGCCCAGAGTTTGCTTACACAGAACAGCTCAGCCGGTTTGCACTGAAGTCCCTGCAGTTACTGAATAATAAGCCTTAGTGTGTAATAAGCCTGGGATTTTAAGGGTCTTTACTTGGCTTTACTCCTCTGTGTTTGGTAGCTTTCGGCCACATACGGACCTCAATGCGTGTTTATGTTTTGTTTGTGTACACAGAAGACCTCAAAGCCGGGTTTGAATAGTGGTCAGTGTTTGCGTAACATGTAAATTAGTGTAATGCTTTATGGGGTTTATGGGGATCTCAGTGTTTGTGTGGTGCATTATCATAGTTAATGCTTACACATTCAGCAGTGCTGTGTCTTATACAAAGGGATTTACATTTGGATGCGTTGGTGGTTGTTTGATGGTGTCACAGTACAGGTGATCTGCAGACTGTACTGTAGTTTCTATAGTAGTGGTTACAGGGAGGATTTGCATGAACTAAGGCAGATCTCTCATTTATATAAGAGGGGCTCCTCTAGCATGTGAAGAAGAAGAAGAATCAGGTCGCGTCTGAGCAAGAACCCATCACAAAAAGACTTGAATCGTCTTCGTTTTCACACGGTAAGTCCAACCCAGGTTTCCCTCCGACTCAGTCATTGGATTTTAGCAGATTTTGCAGAGAAAAAATCAAATTTAGTCAATTTCCCCAACTACCACCAATGTCAAGACCTGTTTGGTGTCTGAAATTCGCTTCTCCAGTTTTACAGTGATGCTAAGAAATTCTATAAAAATAGATGTGTGAACAAAATTTAGACCTTAATTGTCCAAAACTGCCGTTTTCAGCTATGCATTGTACTTCTGAATGAGAATTCTGTTGTATATTTGTGCATTTTTATAGATAACCAGAACAACACCTCGTATCTTTACAGAAAAGTCCTGTAAAGTTACCAAAAAGGTAACTTTACAGGACAAGGAAAAACTCTATCAACTTTTAATGGAAGTAAATGGAGAAATATATCTTTACAAGTAATTTTGGACAATTTCTGATGATCCGTTTATCATGAAATTTTGACACAACTTAAAAGGCAACTGCCTTTTTCAAACTAGTCCAAAAATTTAAAAATGCTACAAGAAACAAGGTTTTGTCCCGATATGCATTCAGTTAGCACAACGCAAATTGGCGTACATAAGCTTCCATTACTTATTAGCTACATTAGCTTCATAGCTCTGGTGAAAAACTAAGGAAGCAAACTTTAGACACCAAATATGTCTTGGTGGGTCGACTACGTTTGGGAAAAGGTGGTAAATTGTGTAGATTAGATTTTTTGCGTATGTATAATGGTGTTTTTATCACCTTCTGTTCATGTCCTTCTGTTTCTTTGTGTGATAGACGAAGCTGCTCTGTCTGATCACTGAATCACTGACAAAGATTGAAGCACCATGGATTCCCTTCTGGACCTTCTCCAACCTGAAAGCAATGTGACAGAAAGTCCTCAGGACGTCGACAATTTGTCAAGCGTGCAACCAGAACCATCTGTAGACTTTCTGCACTTTGACACTGTGGCTCTTTTATTGTGTAAAGTAGTCAATGAAAGCTGCACCAAACCAGGACCCTTCAACCCCACCTCGGTGGCTTGGACCCTCACACAGGCTGTGGGGTGGGCAACATTCTCTGTGGAATTACCCACAGTTCTCTTGGCCTCATATGCCCTGTTTCGATTGGTCAGGGCTGGTCATGTGGCGCCGGTGTATGTGATCAACCTCCTCGCGTCCGATTTGATCCAGATCGCGGTGCGGCCAGCGTTCATGAAGTTCTACAGTGATGCCTCGTCCATCTATCTTTCCTTGCGTTCAAAGAACAGCATGTTGTCCGTTACAACCTTCTACGATGAACGTTCCCCGGTTCCTGCTGTCATTTTCTACTTCGGCTTGGCAGCTAGTGTTGGCTTCATGTTATGCATTGCTCTAGAGCGCTACCTGCTGGTGGTCTGGCCACTCTGGTACCGCTGCAGGCGCACCATCCGCCATTCCCTGCTGGCCTCTGGAGGTGTGTGGGTGTCTGTAGGTGTCTTCCTTATCCTGCAGTCCCAGTTTGCCCATGATCAGGTCACCTTCTTCAAGAGCCCCAAGACTGGATCTAGTCAGGTGGCTGTGGCCCCATGTGGCTCCTTCTGCTGGCCACAGGCCGTCCTGTTACTGCTGCCTGTTCCTCTGCTCCTTGGGTTCCTGATGGGCACTTGGAGAGTCCTGCGTCGCTCAACATCTGTCTCTGCAAGCGAGCGAAATAAGGTTCCTTTTTTTAGATTTCTAGAAGCTCCCTCATATAGTAGACCTGGGTTCCCATGGTGGCCGTATTACAGAAACATCCTAGCTTTTATCTGTTTAATTACCATGACAATGATCCTAGTGAATAATGAGTAGGCAGAGCTGAACGTGTGTCTGTTTATCAGGAGGACTAACGTTAGCGTGCTCGGCTAAAGTGATTGGGAAATGGAAACTGAAACCGTAGAGCGGCGACACTCTGATAAACAGCAGGAGGCGCTCTCACAATATTCATGATCTCCAGTTTATCACACTTTAGTTTTGTTTTGACTTTTTTACATCAGTAACAGTAGCTGTAACTTACATTTTTAACATTATTTTGATGACGTTTACTTTTTAGCTGTGTGCGGATGATCGGTTGCTAGGCAACAGACATGACAGTTAAGTGTTGATTCAGTCGAGCAGGTTTCCTAACTTGAGATAAGATGCTGTAAAATAAGATAAAATTCCTAAATCTTATCTTGACCTGTCAGGTCTTAACATAGGAGATAAAAACAGAAAGTTTCCGTAAAACGGCCCCTGGATTTTGTACAGTTTGGAGACTGTAACTAAATCGAGTAATTAAATGATGAGTTGAATTAGGTGGGTTTGTGCTGGGAAATCACGAGAAGTGCTTGACAGAGGCCTTCTAGAACCATTACTGATTTCCTCTGCTGCAGAACTCTCTTTTCAATAGAGGTTCTCAGATCCAGCCCCTGTCCTGCACAGGTTTAAGTATTCCTTACCCCCAAGAAACCTGAGCAAACCCCTCAGGTAATTATGAAGTATTGCATGACTTATGGGTTCTTCAGATTGATGGAGACTGTGTTGTATATGTCTATGTGTATGTGTTGTTGAAAATGGTTTTGTATAGCACCAAAAAGGGTTCTGCTATTCACTCTCATAAAGATGGTTCTTTGGGAGTTCTTTAGTAAATAGAAAATGTCTCTATATTGAACCATGTACACTGAAAGAACGCTTTGCTTGATTAAATGGTTCTTTGCATCATGAAATTGTGCTTCAGATTGATGGAGAACGTGCTATGGATGGTTCTATCTAGTACCCAAAAGGGCTCTGCTATGTTATACAAGCTTAACATAACAATAGAAGAAGCCTTTCGACTGCTATATAGAACCCTTTCTATACACATTCTCCATCAATCTGATGAACTCTTTCACCATACAAAGAACACTTCAATCATGCGGATGGTTCTTTTAGTGTTCATGGTTCAATATAGAACCATTTTCTAAATTAAAGAACCCCTGAAGAACCATCTTTTTAAGAGAGTGTATATAAGCTTAATATCATAACCATAGAAGAACACTTTTGGGTGTTATATAGAACCATATACAACACTTTCTCCATTGTTCTCCATGGAAATGATTCTAGATAGAACTTAGGGTTCTAAATAGAACCATTCTCTTTACTAAAGAACCCTTGAAGAATCAATTATCAATCGAATCAATTGAAGAATTAAAGTAAACGGGTGACCAACTCACACTTCAACACTGATTAAACACTGATTCTTCATGATGACTTTCTAATGTTTATGCCTCCTAAAACAAAGTGGTGAACCATTTGCACTTTATTACTGATTAAATACTGGTTATTCATATTTGTGCCCCCTAAAGTAAAGCGTTTAATTATTCTGACTATGGTACAGATTAAATGGCAACAAATTAGTAGGTGTCAATCATTACTCAACAAAACGACAGCCTTCTTTTTGCCCTCTGAGAACAGGGATCGCTCATATGGCTTATATAAAAACAGGACATTGACAAAATCCAAAGGAATTAAAAATATTTTGTTATTGTCTTCTGACTTTTACACTTATATCATCACTGTTGGAACAAAACCTTGTATCTCCAAAATGGCCACTTTACAGGAGGAAGAAAAAGCTTCTTAACTTCCAATGGAAGTTAACGAGGAAATGATTTATTCCTAGTTATTTTGGGGCATTTATATTAGTCCAGTCATAATGAACCTTTGACACAATGTAAAGGGAAGCTTGCCAAAAAATGAGGAACAACAAAAATGGTGATACGAAGTTATGTCCCGACAGCAGGGTTGGGATAGCTACTGAAAAATTAGTAGTTAGCTACTTTGTAGCTACTTTCCCAAAATTTGTAGCTCGCTACAATTTAGATACTTTTCCAGAAAAAGTAGTGACTACTTTTTAGCCACTTTCAAGTGCGACTGTCAGAATGTTTTCTCCACCTGACACACCAAACAAGCCCAACTGACAGTGTAAACAAGACACTGTATTTAATCCTGTGCCAGAAAGAAACAACTGAAAAGCTGCAAGCATACGAAAGGATTACTAAAAAGTAAATTTAAGTGTAACCAACAATCAAACTTACACAACCAAAGGCGTCATATCCAACAAAAATTTAGATTTAGGGCAAAGTCAATCATTCCAGATTTTTCCTAACAGAAATCAACAAATATAACTGAATACAAACCAAACAATTCTGTGCAAAGCATTGTCAACTGCTGAAATAAAACTGCTCCAGCTTAAACATTTCAGTAAGATACAGACATTCATAGTCCTTTAAACTTCAGCAACACTTTAGCCTCAGAATTCTCATCAGTGTCTCTGGCTCTGTTTGGGGTGAGAATCAGGCCTGAATAATCTCTCCACTGCTGCAGAGCTGCTGCGGCTCCGTAGCAAAACTAGATTTTTAGGTAAAATGACATAACACAATATAACATAACATAACATAATCCTCCTTTGCTGTAAAATCGTTATAACACGCAGACTGCCGGACACACAGCAATGCAGATAACGAAACGACAAAGAGAGAGATTTAAGGCGAACATCGGTAGTTTGGAGATGAATGGCGCTCAGCTGGCTTCCTCATACGTTTAATCTGCAACAACTTGCGAGGCTGAAGTCAGCTTGTCATTCTCCTGCTTCTCGTTCAAATTCTCCCGTTCCACCTTAAATGGCACAGCAGTACAATCTGGCACCTCAGGCACCATTAAAGGTAAATGGACAATTCGTAAACGGGACAATTCGAACAAGAAGCTGGCAAATGAGAAGCGACTTCAGCCTCGTAAAAATCAAACATTGAGAGACATTTTACAAGAAACTTGCGGAGAAGTTTCCTGAGATGCAAGGAAAGCGGCTACAGCTGAGCTAAAGCTTAAAGCAGAGCAGAGTAAGTCTGCGTTTTCGTTTATATTATATCTTTAGCCTATACTAGTACATCAGCACATGCTGGGACACATTTACAGCCAAGATGGTAAAACAAACATAAAATGCTGTGGCTCCCAAAGTGGTTTCAATTTTTTTGAAAGGACAAAATGGCTCTTCTAAACATTTGGGTTGCGACCCTGAGCTAAGCCTACTAGTAACACATTGCTCTGAGAATGTGTGAGGTGTTCCAGTTTGCCCATGATCAGTTCACCTTCTTCAAGAGCCCCAAGACTGGGTCTAGTCTGGTGGCCGTGGCCCCATGTGGCTCCTTCTGCTGGCCACAGGCCGTCCTATTACCTCTGCCTGTTCCTCAGCTCCTCGGGTTCCTGATGGGGCACCTGGAGAGTCTCTGCAAGTGAACAAAATTAGTCTCCTTTTTTAGATTTCTAGAAGCTCCCTCATATAGTAGACCCGGGTTCCCATGATGGCCATATTACAGAAACATCCTAACTCTGAAATTTTATCTGTTTAATCACCATGACGATGATCGTGGTGAATAATAAGGAGACAGAGCTGAACCTGTGTCTGTTTATTAGGAGGAAAAACATTCGACTAAAGCCTTTGGGAAATGGAAACTGAAACCGTAGAGCGGTGATGTGTTTTACACATTGCTCTAAGACGTCAGGCCTGAAAATGCACATGAGCATAAAACTTGTAACACTCAGACAAGGCAAAACCACATGTAAACATTACATCTGCCACACAAATTGTGTATATAAAACAATACGTGCATGCATTATTTTACCAACTCGCCTATAAAAGTAAGAAAAATGCTTTTATGCCGGTCAAAACTGCTTTTAGTTCAGTAATATTTCATGAAAATATTTACTCAAGACTCTGTAAGCCTGTTTGCACCTCGCATTAATGTGTGTTTTGTGTCTGAATAGTATCTGGATAAACTTTGCCTGGATTCCACTTTGAACTAAAATGCGTCCCCATTTAGTGATCTGATCATAATCCGCTCACAGTGCGTCCTGGGGGTGTTTACACCTGGCTTTTAATGTGATCCAATCACAAAACGCATGTTAATGCAAGGTGTAAACAGCCTCTATGGCTGCTTGACCTATAGAGACTACCGCAATCACTGCCATCTACTGGTGAAGAAATATATCTGTAGTTTTCGGCTGTGAAAACAGTTGGAGTTTCATTCCAAAATCCCCTTAACAAGCCATGGGCCCCCCGGTGGACCCAAAGTATTATTACACACTTCTATAACCTAAGAATAGATCCATTTGTTTGCATTGAAATCCCTGTAGCTACTGAATAATAAGCATTTTTATTTATGAGAAGGTAGAATATATTAAGACAACTCACAGTTTTAATGAAATAAAATGCCTGTTTTTGGTAGATAAACTAAATAAACACAACAGTTCATGTTAATCTTGCCGCATAAGCTACGTAGGTAACAGCATGATATTACAGAATGACATAGGTAATAGTACAAATTCTATAAATAAATTTGTACTATTAATAAATAACACATTAATATTTGATAAATTCAGACATTGAAAAAAGCCTTTATTACCTTCATTTTCATTCAGAAATTAATGCTCAGTAATTTAATCGTATGATTGTTTATATACGACTCATTCATTTGTTCCTGATTAGTGGCTTGTTACTTTCTGATTAATTGATGGTTGATGGTTCTTCGAGGGTCCTTCAGAAATGGGAAAGGTTCTATTTAGAACCATAAGTCCTAGAGTTAACCATTTTGTGCGTAAAGGGTTCTTTGCATTGCAAAACGGTTCTTCAGATTGATGGAGAATGTGTTGTATATGGTTCTATATAGAACCATTTTGAAAATGGTTCCATGTGACACCAAAACAAGTTCTTCTGTTGCAACAAGCTTGACATCATAACAATAGCAGAACGTTGAAGGGTTCAAGCTTTTACACAATAGCAGAACCCTTTTAAAAAAGATACTAAATAGAACCATTTGTAACACATTCTCCATCAATCTGAAGAACAATTTCGTCATGTAACGAACAATTTGAGCATGCAAATGTCTCTATTTAGAACTCATGGTTCTAAAACCATTCCTGTTACTAAAGAACCCTTGAAGAACCATCTTTTTTAGGGCTGTACTATAAAGTATTACCATTTCTGGTTACTTTAAGTTCGATGAATTTGGTGACCTTTGGTTTAACCCTTTCACAGCTGTTCTGTAAGGCTAATGAGGTTCTTCTCTGGCAAGGTTTGTCACTCAGAGAAGGAACTCTCAGAGGTCATTCATTGATTAAAGTGTTGGATCAGGAACACCATAGATTCCAGTTAAGGATCCTTTGTTTGATAGTGCAAGGGTTCTTAACCCCAGTCTCACCAGCAGGGCTCACCAGCAGGCCCAGAGCTTTATTACACACTTCTATAACCTATGAATAACTCAGCCAGTTTGCATTGAAGTCTTTGTAGTTACTGAGTAATAAGCCTTAGTGTGTAAAAAGGCAGGGATATTAAGGCTTAACAAGTGCCTTACTGGCTGGCTGAGGTGTTCGGAGAATGGAAAACACAAAAATGTGCAGAGGGTTGCCAGGACTGGGATTTGGAGCCCCTGATATAGTGAATTGATTGTGTAATGAAGGCCAAAGTGACTTCTAGGGAGGACAGATAAAAAGTCAAGCATCATTTTGAATTTGACATTGAACCTGTGTTTGTATGTGTGCATGAAAGATTCTCGGAGTGCTGCTGCTGGTCCTGGGGAACTACACGCTGCTGTTTCTGCCCAGCATTGTGGTGCTTCTGTACTACAACTCCCAGCCAAGAGGCAGATTCCCAGCGTCCAGTGAGCGGATCGACTACGCCACCGCTGTGCTGATGGATGCTGTGGCCCTCGCTCTCCTCTACGTCAGCCCTCTAGTGGACACCCTGCTCTACATCTTCCTTCGCCAGCACAACGAGGACTCCAGGGATGCCTTCAGCTGCCTGTCCAAGTCCTGCTCATGCATGTCTTGCATGATGTAATGACTAACCAATGGGAGATGAGTGCTAGAACTGTATTACTCCTGTTGTGACCACACCCCCTTCATGTTTGGGTGCAAAGGCACTAGGTGGTGACAAAGAGTGGGGTCTAATTGGAGAGGTACACCGATCAGGCATAACATTACGACCACCTCCTTCTACGCTCATGGTCCATTTTATCAGCTCCACTTACTATATAGGTGCACTTTGTAGTTCTACAGTTACAGACTGTAGTCCATCTGTTTCTCTGCATACTTTGTTAGCCCCCTTTTACCCTGTTCTTCAGTGGTCAGGACCCCCATGGACCCTCACAGAGCAGGTACTATTTGGGTGGTGGATCATTCTCAGCACTGCAGTAACGCTGACGTGGTGGTGGTGTGTTAGTGTGTGTTGCGCTGGTCTGAGTGGATCAGACACAGCAGTGCTGCAGGAGCTTTTAAACACCTCAGTGTCACTGCTGGACTGAGAATAGTCCACCAACCAAAAATATCCAGCCAACAGCGTCCTGTGGGCAGCGTCCTGTGACCACTGATGAAGGACTAGAGGATGACCAACACAAACTGTGCAGCAGCAGATGAGCTATCGTCTCTGACTTTACATCTACAAGGTGGACTGACAAGGTAGGAGTGTCCAATAGAGTGGACAGTGAGTGGACACAGTGAATAAAAACTCCAGCAGCACTGCTGTGTCTGAGAATGATCCAGCACCCAAACAGTACCTACTCTTTTTAATTAAACATAATTTATCCTTTTCACTCCATTACAATGTTGCCACTTCTCTCCTTCTATTGTGTTGTATCCATGGAAGACATTGGGGGCTCGTCCAGGATCTAAAACTGGGGACCTCATGCACATGAAGTGAGAATCAAAACTCACCTTTTTCTGCCACCTACTGTACTGGAATTAGACTACAGGGACCCAAACATGATAAGGGGGGGGGGTGGCTCATAAAACTCAGTAAATGTAATTTAACTCAAAGCCCTGACCTAATGTGCCATATCCATCTAATTAATATCGGGTTAATATTGGATTGTATTCATTCATAAACATATTTTCTTTATCCTTCTAAACATTATACACTTCCTGCACATTTTCATATTTACAATCTTATCCAATCAGGCAGCTGTTGGGTTTATGGAAAAAAGAAACGTTTACTGTCAACTAGTGTGACTGATGTGAGCTGTGTGTGTGTCTGATGTTGGGGTAGCTGAACATCTTAAACGTTAAACGTTAATTGATGCGTTCACTCAAAGTCCTAATAGAACGCATAGTGCTAAGAGTAAAGTTTGGAGGAGGAGGGATGATGAGCCTTGTTTTTTGGGGCTCCTCAGTTCCATTGAAGGGCGATGTTAAAGCTGCAGCTCACAAAGACATATTAAGGGATAATTACATGCTTCCAACTTTTTGGGGGTTTGGGGATGACCCTTTCCTGGCAAGCCAGCAAGCCTGAGCCCCTGTGCACAAAGTGAGCCCCATAAAGACATGGTGTGATGAATTTGATGTGGAGGAACTCCAATGGTCTCCACAGAGCCCTGACCTCAACCCCACTGAACACCTTTGGGATAAACTGGAACGTTGGTTGTGAGCCAGACCTTCTTGTCCAACATCAGTGTCTGACCTCACAGATGCTCTTTTGACTGAATGAGCACAAATTCCCACAAACACACTCCAAAATCTTGTGGAAAGCTTCCCAGAAGAGTGGAGACTGTTATAGCTGTTAAGGGGGGACCAACTCCATATTGATGCGTCCACATACTTTTGGCCACATAGTGTGTTCATAAACGTATACATTTGGAATTGTTAATTAGATGCCGTTTTCTTTTTCCAAACAGGAAATGGAAACACCACTGAGGTTTCCATGAAAATACAATCGATACACTTTATTTTTTCCATATGTTTTAATGATCTGTACTGTAGTACGAGGACACTGTGTGTCATGTGATCAGGAGAACCGATCAGTGTCCTAGATTCATACACACACACCACACACACACACACACACACACACACACACACACACACACCACACACACAGACCACACACACACACACACACCACACACACACACACACACCACACACACAGACCACACACACTCACACAGATTTTTGTGAATTCAGTCTAGTTGGTTCTCAGAAGCTCGTAAAAGTTCTACTATTCTAAAAAGTTTGGAAGTAGTTCAGTAACTAAATACAATATCAGATGTCTGTCTGCCCTGTGATGGACTGGCGACCCGCCCAGGGTGTTTCCTGCCTTCCTCCCAATGACAGCTGGGATAGGTTCCAGCACCCCACCGCGACCCAGAAGGATAAGCGGTTTAGATGTGTTTGAGTGTTCAGTGTGTCGCTCTTCACCTTTATTCCAGCTTCCATTCTTTTCAGGAGACTCACTTTCAGTTCCTCAAAGAATCTGCAGACACACCTCCAAAGTTCAGTCTTAGAAGCTGGTTGATCATTTTCTGAAGTAATCAAACACATTCAGTGGTGTTGAGGTCTGGACTCTGGGGTGGTCAGTCCATCGTTCAGCTTCTTTGTTTGATGTGTCCGTCTCCTTTTCTCAGTGAGGTTCTTCTTGAACAGCTACACATCCTTTCAGACCCACAGCGCTGAGTCGTCTTCTCACAGTGGAAGGATGGACAGAAACACCTGTGGATGTTTTCAGATCTGAAGCAGCTTGATTTTCTCCTCTCTCTCAGAGATGAAAGCTTTAAGTGCTGTTTATCTGATGTGGGCAGTTTTCGTGTCTACCAGGTCTTCCAGGTGGTTGTTAGGAGGCCCATTTTCTCTGTAGCTTTTAATCAGTTTTTGAGCTTTAGTTTTGGAGAATTCCTGCTTTTTTCACTTTGGACCTCTCTTTCCTTAAGTGAGTGGAATATCTTAAATCTAATCTCCTCAGATATATTTCCTGAAGAATAAGTAACTTGTACTTAATAAATGGTGACAGTGAAAGAAATGAAGGATGGTCTTTAATGTTTGAACAATACTGTATATTAAACTCAGTAAATAAACAGTAATTGTGCATTATATTGCAGATGTGTGTTTTCTGTAGATGATGTGTTCAAAACATGGCATTTCACAAAACCTTCACTGTATATGACCAGTTTGTCTGTCCCCTCTGTCCTCTTCTGTAGTAGTCGTTAATCAATGTACTTCCATGCACATTTAGCTCCGCCCCCTGCTCTTCACCATTGGTGTTGTCAGCACTGGTGAGGGGGAATCCTCACTGAACAGCTATAAAACACTCACACTCACACTCACACAAGTGAGTTCAGCGACACTTTCTGATTCACCTGACCAGGTGTGTGTCCACCCTGACAGGTGAGTGTGGGCATATTTATCCACCTCCACACAAGTGTGTGTTATTGTACATTAACTGGACGGTTTACACTGAGAACAGACACACACAGCTGGAGGAAGACTGAATATCACAGGATTCCAAACTCTCTCATTTTTGGGAACCCCCACTTTCGGACGCAATTCAGTGACGTTCCCACCCGGTGTGGGTCAGCAGGAGTGGACACGGACCAGCCAATGAAGGTAAGCGCTGCCAGGCAACTTATACCTTAGCACACTCTGCTTTTATAAGGGAATTTTACTGATTTTTTCCAATCTTTAAGCTAAATTAAATGGTTAAGATTAGAGTGGTTTGGTGTGAAATGCGAATTATCATCGTTTTAGCTGTTGGAGAAAGCTGTACTGTGTTGTATTATCGCTTTAACTGTTGTATTATCTCGTCAATTATTTTACAATTGCTTAAACTGTTGGAGAAAGCTCTTTTTTGATGTATTATCTCTTTAACTTTTGGAGAAAGCTCTTTGGTCCCACTTTATATTAAGTGTCTCTTATAACTGTGTAATTACATATGCAACAACACTGTGACTGCTGATGATTTGGTGAGTGTTACAGATGGATTACAGAAGTACAGCCTATGTAATTATGCCAGTGTATCTTTTTGATACACTACAGATCAGCAGTAAAAGGAAGTATGTTTTACATAACATTACATTTATGTTTTACATAATTACTGTGTAATAACTGTGTTGTAACAAGGTAACCTACTCACATCACATTGATTAATACCATTCTGTAATTACACAGTACCTACATAACAACTACACAACTTTCCTGTAGTGTTAAAGTTAAAGTTATACTTAAAAATAAGTGGACAGTTCCTGTGTAGTTGTTATGTTGCTATGTTATTACTGTGTAATAACAGAGTGGTAATATAATGTTACACATTTAATTAATGACTTAAAGTTACATTTTAAGATAAGGGGATGTCTGCTGTACTGTCACATTACAGAATGGTTTAAAATTGAAAAAAACCTGCTCTAGTCTGATTACAAGTGTAATTACATTTATGTTATTACCCTTGTGTAATTACATGAGTGAGAATAGGCTGTAACAACTATTAAGATACACTTGTGTAATTACATGAGGCAAAACTGGAGTTGATACACGTGTAATTTCATAAACTGTACTTCCATAATCGATCTGTAACAGTGACTAAATCATTAGTAGTTGCATATGTCATTCACATGTAACTACACAGTTATTAGAGACACTTAATATAAAGTGGGACACTTTTTTGTTGTATTATCGCTTCAACTGTTAGTGAAATGTGTTTTGTTGCATTGTCACTTTAATTCTTGGAGAAAGCTGTATTTTCTTGTATTATCACTTCAACTGTTGTATTATAGCTTTATTGTGTTTCATTATCATGTTAATTATAAGACAAAGCTGTATTTTGTTGTATTACCGCTATAATTGTTAGCGTAAATGCTCAGACAGGCCATGATCTCCCAGAATGAATATGGAAAAGTCCCTCAGAGCAGTCAGATGGAAAAATCCTGGCCCTGATCACATGCTGCACTACAGACTGATCAATACTGCCCCATGTGAGTGAGCAATGGGGCTGGTGGGCATTTGGGGTTTTCTGGTCCATGTGCTGCTATTTCTGAGGTGAATTTAGGTGACTATTGACCTTAAGCCATTAATATTACTGCCATCCAGTAAGGAATATTTTAGAAGGGAAAATAAATATTTTACAGTTCTTCATTTTGTCAGAAGAAGACAAACTAGAGTTTAAAAAAAGATTAAAACAAAGAAAATGAGACTCCTAACAACCACCTGGTAGACACCAAAACTGCCCCCATCAGATAAACAGCACTTAAAGCTTTCATCTCTGAGAGTGAGGAGAAAATCAAGCTGCTTCAGATCTGTCCATCCTTCCACTATGAGAAGATGACTCAGCGCTATGGGTCTGAAAGAAGCCTCACTGAGAAAAGGAGACAGACAAGATCTGCAGGAGTGGAGATACCTTTGGAAGTATGTTGCAATGAAAGACCCTTTGGCCATCGGTCAAGCATGGTAGAGGATGAGTGCAATTTCGAGGATGTATAACAACAACTGGAGATGGTGGCATTATCAGTGCCGATATATACAAACCTCTAATCCATTGTGCAGCATCATCTGGAAAACATCTGACTGGAAGGAAATTCTTTCTACAGCAAGATAATGACCCCAAGCACACTGCTGAGAAGGTCGAGATGTACTTCTCAATCAAAGAACAAAATAATTAACTGACCACCCCAGAGTCCAGACCTCAACATCACTGAATGTGTTTGGGAAGGAAAGCCAGAAGTACAAAGTTCAACCAACTTCTAAGACTGAACTTCGGAGTTGCTGCAGATTTTTTCAGAAAGACTGAAAACGGGTGTCTGACAAAAGTGAAAAGAGTTCAATGTTCTTCTAGAGTGCTAAAATAAGCAAACACTTCAATTAACTAAGCTATGGAGTAACTGAAGTTTTGAGGGCTGGCCATGCCTGAAACTCCTCCCCCTTCCAATCTAAGGCCTCATTAATGCTTTATTGTCCATTTTCTATGAAAAAGTCTTTGCGATCCCCACCACCATCCCATCTCCTCCCTGTTCCCCAGTCCTATGTCAGTCCTACCACAGTTAGTATGGGGGGGTCCGGCCTCCTAGCTCTAAGCAGAAGCCTACCAGGTCTCCAGCTGAAGTTCTCAGGGTTCCCTCCATTGGTTTTCCATCATACAATCACCAGACATAAAGGCACAGTCCGAACACACAAACTGTGGCTTTGGTTATAAAATGTTCTTTGGTTCTTTGGATCTTTATCTTAGCCTTACACTCATGGCTCCACTGCAAAAAGCTGAAATAGCTAATAAAATCAGGCCTGAGCGCGAGTTTAGTTGAAAGTGAGTGTACATTGATGTGTTTGTGTTTTCAGAAGATGGCACCTCGGCCCGACTTCGAGGGAAACTCACTGGGCCAGCAGACAGATGGACTCGGTGGTACGTGCAACGTGCCTATCACTGCTGTCGGAAAGATTTTTACTGTTTTTGACATAATTTGAAAGTGCCTGTTGCTCTTTACATTGTTTGTAAATTTCTCAAAGAATGGACCGAAACAAATGGCCCAAAATTACTTGGAACAAAAGTCTGATTCCATTGACTTACATTAGACGTGAGGTGTGTTTTTTTCCTTCTACTGTAAAGTTACCATTGGAGATACAAGGTTTTGTTACGACAGTGATATGGAGGTTTCATTATGAATATCTAGCAATAAGAGCATCTTAATATCTACATAATACAATGTCTAAGGTGCTGAAACTATCGCTTTAAAAGCCATTTAAAATCGGTATTTGAACTAGAGGGCTGGAAGTGAGGATTCTATCAGAGCAACAGTCAAACTTGTTGCAGCTGGGCTTCAGCCTGCACTACTGAAAATGGGTTGAAGAGTCAAACTAGGAAAATGCATCAGTGGTGTTACAAAAAATAGTTGCCATAAAAGTGTTTATTATTAATATTATTATATATTATTTTATGCAGTATTATTATAGCTGCATTGACTCTCTCTCTCTCTCTCTCTCTCTCTCTCTCTCAGTTCAGAAACAGAAGTCGGTCTGCATGGCTCCTGCTGTTTCTTCTGTAGCTCTGATCCAGGCTGGACCGGAGAGGGAGGAGGACCCCTGGGACCTGCCAGAGCTTCAGGACACTGGAGTTAAATGGGCAGGTATTATAGATACCATTACAAACACACTACAGCACAAAAGAATGAGAAAGAGCAGTGCTTCTATAAAAATATTTTAGTATTGAATAAATTTTGCCAACAAACAACACATTGAGATCATGGCCATCCAGGTCAACGAAAGCAGTTTGTCCTAAAATATTCCATCGGTGCTGTACTCTTAACACTGCGTCCTAACAGCAAGCGAGTGCTCACATGTAGCATGAAAGCCTTCAGGATATCTACACTAGAAACGTGATGTGTGTCAAGTCAGACCGTAAACAAACCTTGATCAGAAAACAGCTTGAGCTTAAATGGATGAGCGTCCCAGATATCGCTGTTGTCGGAAGAAAACCTCGTATCTCCAAAATGGTAACTTTACAGGAGAAGGAAAAAACCTACTTTACTTTTAATGTAAGTCAATGGAACCAGAGTTTTTTCCAGGTCATTTTGGGTCGTTTCCTTTAGTCCATTCATCATGAAATTTACACACAATGTAAAGGGTAACATGTATTTTCAAATGATGTCAAAAACTGAAAATGACAAAAATGGAGATACAAGGTTTTCTTCCGACAGCGGCGATATGCTATTGTGTAGGGCAGCTCAGGTGTATCTGCCTAGTCTACTTAGTTAAATATCCTCACTACAAAACAACAGTTTCACCTTCCATTCACCTCCAACTTCCAGCACTCTGGCAGTTTCTCTCCAAATTGTTTCCTTACTGTTAACGTCCTTATGAGGTTCTCATCTTCCATTCCGACGTGGAACACCAGAGCAATGCGACTCGTCCGAAGTAGAAATGGGGCGCCTGTCAGAAAACAGTGCATTACAGTGCATCACGCTCTGCTGCTTGCAGGTGGTGTAGACGGCACCACTGATTATAACGGGTGCGTTTCAGTTTTGTCGTAATTGTTCGCTCACGTCACTCTTTTAGGACACAGCGTTCTGACAAGACCATTAAACACAGAACGCTGTGTGAATAAAAAGACCCGAAAGTGTGAAATATTCAGGCGCGATTTTTTTATGCATCAGAACTATAGACACTGGATTCGGCGCAATTCACTGGAATTCCGCTGTTTTATTTCGCACTGTGAACAAAACCGTACAAACAGGCAGAATGTCTTCAAGTGAGAAAAAGACACCCACAAAATGGGCAAAGAGTGACATCTGGTGGGCTACTTTTCATTCTGGAAAAGCAAAAGGAGAACTAAGAGTTTCATCCGTTCATTCAGGAGCTGAAACCTTACAACTGCATTCAGCTCTGATGCTCATACTGTTTTCCAGTTTGAGCTGCTTTTTAGAGTTCCAATGTGTCAGGCTCCAGTCAAAACACTGTAAACTTCAGCACACAGCCTCATTAAACACACCATCTCATCAGCTAAATAAGCAAGGCCTTCATGAACTGAACTCAGAGCGTTAGATGAGGGTAAACGCTGATCTCTGCAGCACTTTGGCCCGAAAGGTCCCCAGTTTTTTTTTTTTACCCAATTATTTTACCCAATTTAGTCATCTCCAATTCCAACCGCTAGTTAGGACTCCCCCAATCACACGATACTATCAACGCTAGGAGGGCGAAGGCTAACACAGGCTTCCTCCGAGACCTGTGAAACCAGCCACCGCATCTTTTCGAACTGCCGCTCACGCAGCGTCATTGGACAGCCGAACGCGCTCTGAGGAAAGCGCCCGATGACAGGGTCAACGCTTAGACGGTTGCGCCACTTGGGAGCCCCCAAAGGTCCCCAGTTTGACATGCCTGGTCTAGTGCCTGGTCAGCTCAGAAATCGCAGGAGTAAGTTCTTGTCATTTGGACATGTGCACAAAAATTGATCAGCAGGCGAATAAAATAATAACTGAGCAGCTTTAAAATTCTTTCCCCTCTCCTGATTGAGGTGATGGAGCTTCAGGAGCTCCTGAACGGAAGAATAATGTGGATCTGATTAGAACTGCAATAAGAGCTCCCAGCTCATTAACGCTGTCCATTTGTACCTGCTGCCTTCTGTCACATTTCACAGCTATGCCTGGACCAATAAAATGGAAAAACGTGATCAGTCTTATGAAACTATTATGGGAATGCTGACAATTTTATGCAGTATTGGCCGTTTAAAGTCTTTATTCAGGATCAGAGTATGAAAAGCATGACAGCAAACAAAACTCTGTATGTCCTTATTGTTGTTTTTTTATATATATATTTTTATATTATATTATTTATATTATATTATTTACTTGCTGTAAAGGGTTGGGACAGCAGATGCTGATTTTGTTGCGTTCCAGTAAGTTTCAGACACTCTGCACAAGAAATATACAGACTGTCTGAGGTAAACTGCACTATAAAATCACCACAGCTCTCAGAATCTCACCTCTCACTGAGAATTCAAACCAGCCCTGGTCCTGCTGGAGTTCTTAAACACTGTGTCCACTCACTGTCCACTCTACTAGACACTCCTACCTTGTCAGTCCACCTTGTAGATGTAAAGTCAGAGACGATAGCTCATCTGCTGCTGCACAGTTTGTGTTGGTCATCCTCTAGTCCTTCATCAGTGGTCACAGGACGCTGCCCACAGGACGCTGTTGGCTGGATATTTTTGGTGGACGATTCTCAGTCCAGCAGCGACACTGAGGTGTTTAAAGACTCCAGCAGCACTGCTGTGTCTGATCCACTCAGACCAGCGCAACACACATGAGCGTAGAATATATATATATATATATATATATATATATATATGAATGTTGTCATTTTTGTTTCTGCAGTGTATATAACTGTTCACTGTAATTATTCTTAACTAATGTTTGTAATACTCTCTCTCTCTCTCTCTCTCTCTCTCTCTCTCTCTCTCTCAGATTTAGACACTAAAGGAAAAGTACTGAGGGTTTTTATTTCAGTCCTAAAGCTGGTGACGCTGTTGGGTTTGCTGTATCTCTTCGTTTGCTCTCTGGACATCCTCAGCTCAGCGTTTCAGCTTGTAGGAGGTAAAAATCGCACAATAAACGGTTACTTTTATATGTATTCAGGCTCTAGTCATGTTCTTTTATAGCTACTGTTTTTTTGACTATGCAGGATAAACATTTGGTCAAAACAGGCCAGCTTAAACTGAGAAAGGAAAACTTTAACCTCAGTGTGAGTTGGAAAACAATGATGCAATCAGCGGTGAACTCTTTGAGCAATTAACAAGATTGCCAGGTTCAGAAAAGGCTTTCAGACATGACGAAAGCAAGACGAAATAGATCTCTGATGAAATACACATCCATGTTCTACAGTTTCTCATTAGGTTGAATGAATAACCAGCTCTAAATGTAGGTATTGTGATATAAACCAAGTCATGTTTTTTTTTTAGGTAAGGCGGCTGGAGATATTTTCCAGGAGAATGAGGTGTTATCTAACCCGTTGGCTGGACTAGTCATTGGGGTTTTGGTCACTCTGCTGGTCCAAAGCTCCAGCACATCCTCATCTATAGTGGTCAGCATGGTCTCCTCTGGATGTAAGTATAAACCAGCATATGAGCATAACACAATGTTGACAACAAAAGTTCCAAAATTTCCAATTCCAATTAATTTAAGCTTCAAAGTTTTAACTGTGATAAATCAGGGGTGTAAATCTCTTTTTGATCCACTTTGATTCTCGGTCCATTGTGATATTTCAGATTTCACAATTCAACTTGTTTTGATTAATCGGGAAACGATTCAGTGCCTTATGAAATCTTAAATGTGACCAAGATTTGGTTCAACTCCATTTGATTCTTTAGGAAACGAATCAGGGCTCCACAGAATCTTAAATGTCAGTATAATTTGACTCAACTCCATTTGATTCTTTAGGAAACGAATCAGGGCTCCACAGAATCTTAAATGTCGGCATGATTTGACTCAACTCCATTTGATTCTTTAGGAAACGAATCAGGGCTCCACAGAATCTTAAATGTCGGCATGATTTGACTCAACTCCCACTTAAAGATAATTCTTTAGGGAGCAATTCAGTTTATAATGAAATTGAATTCTCAAATTTCACCAAATAAACACAAAACATTTTCGAATTTTTGCTTGAAAACAGTCCTAGATTTTTATTTTTGTCCACAAATGAGCACATATTTTTTTGTATCTATTATAATGTTATTATAAAAGATAAAAGATGATATATTTTACCATTCTAAACTGCAAGTTGCCACCTTCAGACTTATTGAACTCATCTGATGCCAGTGATACTTTAAATGCATCTGAAAATGACATTATGGGTAATGATGATGATGATGTTCACCTCTTCCTCCCACAGTGCTGCAGGTGCCCACAGCGGTCCCTATCATCATGGGCACCAACATTGGAACATCGGTCACGAACACAGTGGTGGCCATGACTCAGGCAGGAGACCGGAGCAAGTTCCGCAGGTCAGACTTCAACCTCACAGTGGACAGTCTTTATTAAGCTGCCCATATGGAGGAGAAATACATGGACATGTGTTGTTTTTAAATGTGATACATTTTAGATATATTCCTTTGCGTTTTGGTTGACCTGCTAGACCAGCAATCGACCAGCACTAGACCAAAATGGAATGCATTATGGACGGTGCTGTTTTTTTAGCATGGTGTTAACGAAATACTGTAGCCTATCAATGTAATTATGAGGGGGAAATAATTAAATTTATACATTTTTGCCCTTAACCCAAATGTAGTCGATCAGCAGAGACATGACTGGTTTTGTTTCAGCACCGCAGCTGGGTCATTCTCCAGAAACGTCCACTTCCTGTCTCTCCATAGGAGTCACTGGTGTTACTGATCCTCATTGTTGTTACACATAAGAAAGGTAACACCAGAGACATTTTAATGAAAAATGCATTTTACAAAAATGCTAGTAAACGCTGGGGACACAAAAGTGGACGTTTCTGTAGAATGACCCAGCTATGAGGCTAATGTACCTAAAAAGTGAGGGAATTGGCAAATTACAAACTGTAGTTGAACTACAACTTATGGCAGGTGACATTTTTAGCGTAACACCCCTTCGGTTCTCAATTCAGGGCGTTTGCCGGGGCCACGGTGCACGACTTCTTCAACTGGCTGTCCGTGTTGGTGCTGTTGCCATTGGAGGTTGCTACGGGATACCTGTACCGCCTCACTGAGGTCATAGTGAGAACCTTCAACATAGAGACCGGAGAGAATGCCCCGGCACTGCTCAACGTCATCACTGACCCGCTCACGCACTCCATCATAGAGGTGGGTATGTGTGTGTGTAGCAACGAGTCATGTAGTAGCTATCTCAGCACTGCAGTAACACTGACGTGGTGGTGGTGTGTTAGTGTGTGTTGCGCTGGTCTGAGTGGATCAGACACAGCAGTGCTGCTGGAGTTTTTAAACACTGTGTCCACTCACTGTCCACTCTATTAGACACTCCTACCTCGTCAGTCCACCTTGTAGATGTAAAGTCAGAGACGATAGCTCATCTGCTGCTGCACAGTTTGTGTTGGTCATCCTCTAGTCCTTCATCAGCGGTCACAGGACGCTGTTGGCTGGATATTTTTGGTGGGTGGACTATTCTCAGTCCAGCAGTGACACTGAGGTGTTTAAAGACTCCAGCAGCTCTGCTGTGTCTGATCCACTCAGACCAGCACAACACACACTAACACACCACCACGTCAGTGTTACAGCAGTGCTGAGAATGATCCACCACTCAAATAGTACCTGCTCTGTGAGGGTCCATGGGGGTCCTGACCACTGAAGAACAGGGTAAAAGGGGGCTAACAAAGTATGCAGAGAAACAGATGGACTACAGTCTGTAACTGTAGAACTACAAAGTGCACCTATATAGTAAGTGGAGCTGATAAAATGGACAATGAGCGTCGAAACAAGGAGGTGGTCAGAATGTTATGCCTGATCGGTGTAAATGACATATGAATATATGTAACCATGGAGAATCCCTGTGATGTCACCCATTCCTGACTGCTAGCCTCGCCTGATTTAGACACTAATAAATATGTGATGTACTGAAGGGAGGTTTTCTAGATTTTAAACCAGAAAATATCCCAAAAGCATCCCTTTCAATGATATTTTATAAAAGATTATCAATGCAAAGTGTGGATTTGACCAGATTAGCCGAATGTATCATGTGTTGTTTACGTGTCTCTGATGCAGTTGGACGAGTCAGTCATCAGCGGCATCGCTACTGGAGACCCAGAAGCCAAGAATAAAAGTCTCATCAGAACATGGTGTTCAACTTCAACAAACACGGTAACTAGAATAAACCAAGAACATGAGATAAAATACCCAAAGAAATGTTTTAATTAACTGCTTTTAAACACAGGTTATCTCCCCAAACCCACATGTCGTTGATTGTGTTTGGTGTCTAATGTTCGCTTCTTTAGTTTTGCACTGAAGCTATGAGGCTAATGTAGCTAACACTTCATGGAAGCAGTTAGCATGGTGCTAACTGCAGGCCTAAAACATCTCACTCTTGCCTCAAACTGTGTGTTCTGAGTTGTTCAGGAATGTCTTATGGACTTGACTGTGTTTTCCGACACTGTATGATCCATTGTTACCTGTATGATACTGTATGATACACTGGACACACCCAGATAACAAGAGGATAGCTGGCCACTGCAGGCCAACTGATGGCAAAGCTGGCAGCCCACTGGTGGTAAAAGCACAATGTAGTTGTTTCTAATTAAGTGGCCAGTTAGTAGTAGCGCAAGGTAGGTGTTTCTAATAAAGTGGCCGGTTAGTAGTAGCGCAAAGTTGGTATTTCTTTTTTTTTTTCTTTTTACCCAATTTTCTCCCCAGTTTAGTCGTATGCAATTCGCTAGTTAGGACTCCCCCAGTCACACGATACTATCCACACTAGGAGGGTGAAGGCTAACACAGGCTTCCTCTGAGACCTGTGAAACCAGCTACCGCTTCTTTTTGAACTGCCGCCCATGCAACATTATTGGACAGTTGAACACGCTCGGAGGAAAGCGCCAACCGCTAGATCTGTTACATCAGCTAACAGATGCCTGCGCTGACTAGCATCGCGTTGAGTGATGGGGGGAGAAGGGGGGGCCATCCTACCCACCCAGAGAGAGCGAGGCCAATTGTGCTTTCTTGGACTCCCGGCTACGGACGGCTGCAGCATCACCAGGGATCACACTTGCGATCTCCTGATGACACGGCCAACGCTTAGACGGTTGCGCCACTCGGGAGCCAAGTTGGTGTTTCTAATAAAGTGGCCAGTTAGTAGTAGCACAAGGTAGGTGTTTCTAATAAAGTGGCCAGTTAGTAGAAGCACAAGGTAGGTGTTTCTAATAAAGTGGCCAGTTATTAGAAGCACAAGGGAAGTGTTTCTAATAAAGTGGCCAGTTGGTAGAAGCACAAGGTAGGTGTTTCTAATAATGTGGCCAGTTGGTAGAAGCACAAGGTAGGTGTTTCTAATAATGTGGCCATTTAGTAGTAGCACAAGGTAGGTGTTTCTAATAAAGTGGCCAATTAGTAGTAGCACAAGGTAGGTGTTTCTAATAAAGTGGCCAGTTAGTAGAAGCACAAGGTAAGTGTTTCTAATAAAGTGGCCAGTTATTAAAAGCACAAGGTAGGTGTTTCTAATAATGTGGCCAGTGAGTGGAAGTACAAGGTGGGTGTTTCTAATAAAGTGGCCGGTTCGTAATAGCGCAAAGTAGGTGTTTCTAATAAAGTGACCAGTTATTAAAAGCACAAGGTAGCTGTTTCTAATAAAGTGGCCAGTTATTAAAAGCACAAGGTAGCTGTTTCTAATAAAGTGGCCAGTGAGTGGAAGACCAAAGAAGGTGTTTATATTAAAGTGGCCATGTTAAACAGAGTATTAGACAAAAATGGCACTTTTAATCGTTTGTTTTGCACTCAAAGTCCAATTTACTCACTTGTCCTTTAAACTTTTTAAATTCGGCCTAGTCATTATTTTTTTCTCTCAGTTGTTTGTGATGCTCGTCTTCGTTTATTTTCCAAAATAAAAGGCTGTGTGCTTTTAAAACTGTTTGATGAGATTAAAATCTAGTTAGATCTTGCAATCTGGTTGGTTTTAGGGTGGTCCACCAGTGGCATAAACCAGTGAACCAATATATGCATGCTATATGGGAAAGCCTTTAAGATGGGTTGAGCGCTGCTAAAGGCTAAAATCTTCGATTACTTGTTAGCTGCACTAACAGCTTCAGTGCAAGACTAAAAAAAACAAACTTCAGACACCAAATATTCTGACAGATACACAGGTTTACCTTTAAGACGGGAAGTAAGAAGGGATGGAGTAGATTTTTAGTTGAACTAACGCTTTAAACGAATAATTCTCTGGTTTCTCTAACTGTGTGACATCACTTTCCAGACCCTACAGAACGTGACCATAGTAAACTGCACCAGCGCCCCCTGCTGGGAGTGGAGGAATGTGTCTGAAACAATTAACATTCATAAATGTGAGTCTGGCTGCTCATTTGTTATGGCTGAAATGACTATATGCTCAGTTAGCTGAACTCAATAAAGCCCAGAGGTCTGGATTATGAGACCCCCGTCTTACTCAGGTGTCTAAATCTCCTCTCTTTTTCTCTCCGTCTCTTTTTCATTTTCTCCTATCCACTCCTGTCCTCTTTTCCTCTTCTCTCTCTGGCTCCAGGTCGTCATATCTTTGTGGACACTAACCTGCCGGACCTAGCGGTGGGGCTAATCCTGCTCGCCCTGTCTCTGTTGGTGCTGTGTGCCTGCCTCATCTGCATCGTCAAACTCCTCAACTCCATGTTGAAGGGTCAGGTGGCTGCTGTCATCAAGAAGATCATCAACACAGGTCAGATTCTAACAAAGCCTTTGTTTTAACATTGGAAATGAGCATAGCGTGACCATGGAAATGGGGGAAGTGTTGCCATGGAAATAAGAATCACGCAACCATGGAAATAGAGCATAACCATTAGAAATGCGTATTCCTTTAGTGTAACATTACTGTAGAAATCAGTGTAGTGTAACCATGGAAATGAGTGTAGCATTACTATAGAAATTAATGTAGTGTAACCATGGAAATGAGTGTAGCATTACTATAGAAATTAAGGTAGTGTAACCATGGAAATGAGTGTAGCATTACTATAGAAATTAAGGTAGTGTAACCATGGAAATGACTGTAGCATTACTATAGAAATTAATATAGTGTAACCATGGAAATAGGAGCAGAGTAACTATGGAAATGGGAGCAGAGTAACTATGGAAATAAGTCTAGCATTACTATAGAAATTAGTGTAGTGTAACCATGGAAATGAGTGTAGCATTACTATAGACATTAGTGTAGTGTAACCATGGAAATGGATCTTGTGTAACCATGGAAATGGGTGCAGTGTAACTATGGAAACGGGAGCAGTGTAAGCAAGGAAATGAGTGTAGCATTACTATAGAAATTAGTGTAGCGTAACCATGGAAATGGCAGCAGTGTAACTATGGAATGAGTGTAGCATTACTACAGAAATCACTGTAGCGTAACCATGGAAACGGTAGCAGTGTAACTATGGAATGAGTGTAGCATTACTACAGAAATTGGTGTAGTGTAACCGTTCAAATGGGTGCAGTGTAACCATGGAAATTAGTGTAGCATAACCATGCAAATGGATCTTGTGTAACCATGGAAATGGGTGTACTGTAACCATAGAAATGGGTATAGTGTTACAGTGGAAATGGGTGTAGCATGGCCATAGAACTGAATGTAGTGTACCCATGAACCTGGATGTATAATAACCATGTAAATAAGTGTAAAATAACCAAATAACTGTAAAGTAACCATGAAACCAGGTGTAGTTTTACCTTGGTAAGACAGTCAGTATATCCATAGAAATGAGTGTAGTCTTACTATAGAAATGGGTGTAGCTTTACCATGGAAATGGTTGTACTGCAGATGTGAGGAACGGTTATATTTCATATAGCTGTCTATAATTATACTAACTTAACGACAGGAATACAACTGTACTTCTGTCATCTAGAGTGGACAGGCACTGTTTACAGTTTTACCCACAACTTCTTGAACACTTTAACAAGTTGGCTTCTGTTTTTAATATAACCACTAACTGATGCTGAACTCATTAAAATGTCATTTGCTTTCGGATGCAGATTTTCCATTTCCACTCGGATGGCTGACCGGATACCTGGCCATCGTGGTGGGAGCAGGAATGACCTTCATTGTCCAGAGCAGCTCAGTCTTCACCTCAGCTATTACACCTCTAGTAGGTCAGTGTCACAAAAACATAAACGTGCCCAATGTGTTCATTCATTCATACCAATATATTTACACTCACTGGCCACTTTATTAGAAACCCCTGATTTATAGCTCCTCCATACAGATGTACAATTACAAACTGTAGTTTTTACTGCATTTAGGTGCACTTTGTAGTTCTACAGTTACAGACTGTAGTCCATCTGTTTCTCTGATACTTTGTTAGCCCCCTTTTACCTTGTTCTTCAGTGGTCAGGACCCCCATGGACCCTCACAGAGCAGGTACTATTTGGGTGGGTGATCATTCTCAGCACTGCAGTAACACTGACGTGGTGGTGGTGTGTTAGTGTGTGTTGTGCTGGTACGAGTGGATCAGACACAGCAGTGCTGCTGGAGGTTTTAAACACTGTCCACTCACTGTCCACTCTATTAGACACTCCTACCTCGTCAGTCCACCTTGTAGATGTAAAGTCAGAGACGATAGCTCATCTGTTGCTGCACAGTTTGTGTTGGTCATCCTCTAGTCCTTCATCAGTGGTCACAGGACGCTGCCCACAGGACGCTGTTGGCTTGATATTTTTGGTTGGTGGACGATTCTCAGTCCAGCAGTGACACTGAGGTGTTTAAAAACTCCACCTGCTCTGTGAGGGTCCATGGGGGTCCTGACCACTGAAGAACAGGGTAAAAGGGGGCTAACAAAGTATGCAGAGAAACAGATGGACTACAGTCTGTAACTGTAGAACTACAAAGTGCACCTATATAGTAAGTGGAGCTGATAAAATGGAAAATGAGCGTCGAAACAAGGAGGTGGTCAGAATGTTATGCCTGATCGGTGTATATAACCTAAGAACAGTTTCCTGTAGTTACCGAAAAATAAACCTTAGTATGTAATAAGCCTGAGATTTTAATGGGTTAAACTCAGCAAATAAATAAAAATTGTGCACCAAACATTTTACAGAAAAATACCATATTTAAGCTGGTTAACCTAGAGGATGTTATTTGACCGAGGGTGTTCAAACTTTTGCATACGGCTGTATTTCTATCACTATTATCTTATCTGTTTCGTAGCTGATAGGCAGTTGACAGAGATACCTTTGGAACAGAACAGTGTGGTCTATTGGTTTTGAACTCTGTGGCAGTGTATGATAAAGTTAATGGGGCCTAAAGGCTATTAGGCTAACTGTATTATCTTATATCCAAATATGTTACATTTAAATAAGCTTAGAGTTCAGATCATAATTTAAAACTGGAGAATTAAGAGTTTAAATCTCTTATAAATGTTTTTTGATATATAAACAGACAAATAGGTCATTTTTTTCTTACCCTTTATGTGAAAGTTAGATATTTGCATGTTATCACTTAAGCGTTAAAGGTTAAAACCACTAAATTTAAAACCAGCTAATTTGAATATTTTAGCTATATTAATTTGGATACAGTTACTTCAAACCACTTAAAATCCTTTAAGTTGATTCAAACATATGTCATTTAAAAGTATTTTAATTTTTAGGACATATTATAGTCACTTAGAAGTGGTTTTAATTGAAATAGACATGTTATAGTCACTTAATGTTTAAAGTTAATTTGACCATAAGTCACTTAAGAATGTTTTAAGTTGATCTGAACATTATCATTGCTTAATTATGCTTTTAAGTTGATTTTAATGTTATAGTCTCTTAAAGGTTTTTTTTTAGTTGATTTGAACATTATAGTCACTTAAAGGTGTTTTAATGTTGATTTGAACACGCTATAGTGACTTAAAGGTGTTTTAAGTATATATGAACATATTCTAGTCAGTTTTTTAAGTTAAAAGTAATTTAAAAGAACTGAAATTAGACATAAAATGTTTGTATTGAGCTAGTAAACAACTTTTAGATGTGCTAACTTAGGAAGGTCTGTTTTAGTTGATCTTTTTTTATTTCAATATTAGAAAAACGTATTATGTATTATGTGAATGTGTGCAGGTATCGGGGTTATAAGCATTGAAAGAGCTTATCCACTCTCTCTGGGCTCCAACATTGGAACGACCACCACAGCCATACTGGCAGCTCTGGCCAGTCCAGGAGAAACACTGACCAATTCACTGCAGGTGAGATGTACAGACACACTGAGACCCCCCACTATGTGGTTTCTGACACCACCAGGAACCAAAAGACACTTTTAATGGTTTCTGTGATTTTTTTATTTCAGCAGGCTAAACCTGGACTAAAGTATGTTTGCATGGCTAAAATCGCTACTATAAGTCATCTTGAAGCCACATTTTCTCTGTGCTTTCATCCATTTTTAAACATTAAGTTAAAGCTTTACACCGATCAGGCATAACATTATGACCACCTCCTTGTTTCTACACTCATTGTCCATTTTATCAGCTCCACTTACTATATAGGTGCACTTTGTAGTTCTACAGTTATAGACTGTAGTCCATCTGTTTCTCTGATACTTTGTTAGCCCCCTTTTACCCTGTTCTTCAGTGGTCAGGACCCCCATGGACCCTCACAGAGCAGGTACTATTTGGGCGGTGGATCATTCTCAGCACTGCAGTGACACTGACATGGTGGCGGTGTGTTAGTGTGTGTTGCGCTGGTACGAGTGGATCAGACACAGCAGTGCTGCTGGAGTTTTTAAACACTGTGTCCACTCACTGTCCACTCTATTAGACACTCCTACCTTGTCAGTCCACCTTGTAGATGTAAAGTCAGAGACGATAGCTCATCTGCTGCTGCACACTTTGTGTTGGTCATCCTCTAGTCCTTCATCAGTGGTCACAGGATGCTGCCCACAGGACGCTGTTGGCTGGATGTTTTTGGTTGGTGGACTATTCTCAGTCCAGCAGCGACACTGAGGTGTTTAAAAACTCCAGCAGCACTGCTGTGTCTGATCCGCTCAGACCAGCACAACACACACTAACACACCACCACCACCACGTCAGTGTTACTGCAGTGCTGAGAATGACCCACCACCCAAACAGTACCTGCTCTGTGAGGGTCCATGGGGGTCCTGACCACTGAAGAACAGGGTAAAAGGGGGCTAACAAAGTATGCAGAGAAACAGATGGACTACAGTCTGTAACTGTAGAACTAAAGTGCACCTATATAGTAAGTGGAGCTGATAAAATGGACAATGGGGAGGTGGTCAGAATGTAATGCCTGATCGGTGGGCTAATGTAGCTAACTAGCTTATGTGACAGTGTGAGCGTCACTGTTGCTGCTTTTAGCCACATTTTTTTTCATTTTATAGACAACAGGAGAGAAAAGACAACATGTTTCAACTGATCAAACCGTTTAGTGAAGAATCAGATTAATGCAATGCACACAAATATGTTAGCGTAGCTAAAACAGATGTCATACAGTGTCAGAAACCACATAAGTCTATTAGGGATTACTGAACAATTTAGGCATGCAGTTGGCAGCATGCCAATTGCTAACTATATTAGAATTCCATTACTGGTTAGCTACATTAGCCAGACACCAAACATGTCTCAGCTGATCGACTGCTTTTAGGGTAAGGAGGGTAAAAATTGAGTAAAATTGATTTAAAATGGTTTTAAATGACAAATTTAATCTTTTAGCTGAACTCAATTGGATGAAGTCACTTTAAAGTCATGTAAAGTCTTTTAAGTTGATTTTAAAATGTGATAATCATTTTAAAAAGTTTCTTTGGACGCATTTAAAGTCATTTTTGATCATTTTGAATGCTTTAGTCACTTAAAAGTGTTTCTAAGTTTAATTGGACACATTTAAAGTCACATAAATCATGCTATAGTTGCTTAAAAGTGTTTCTAAGTTTAATTGGACACATTTAAAGTCACATAAATCGTGCTATAGTCGCTTAAAAGTCTTTTTACATTTATTTGGATGTATTATAGTCACTTGAAAGTGTTTGTAAGTTAACTTGCATGTATTTAAAGTCACTTGTAAACATGTTTTTGATTAATTTGACTGTTAGTCACTTAAAACGGTCTGTTAGAATTTAGCCATGAGGTTAGCAGCATGCTAATGTGCTAACTATATAAGCTTCTATTATTTTTAGCTTCATTAGCCTTGTAGCTCCAGTGCTAAAACTAAAGAAGCGAAACTTCAGACACCAAACATGTCTTAGCTGATTGACTGCATTTGCAGTAAAGGGAGGTAAAACTGAATAAATTTGATTTGATATTGTTTTAAATTACTAATGTGATGCTTTTAGATTTTTTAAAATTATTTAAAACTATTTCTGAAGTAAATGCTAACTCGCTCTCCTTGTTCTCCCCAGATCGCTCTGGTTCATCTCTTCTTCAACCTGTCGGGCATCGTGCTGTGGTACGTGCTGCCGTTCATGCGAGTCCCCATCATGCTGGCCAAAGCGCTGGGCAACGTCACGGCTCGTTACCGCTGGTTCGCCATCTTCTACATCATCTTCTGCTTTTTCTTCATCCCACTGCTGGTGTTCGGCCTGTCCCTGGCCGGCCTGCCCGCGCTGCTGGGCGTCCTCCTGCCAGTGGCGCTGTTGCTGCTGTTTGTGATCATCATTAACTTGATGCAGTCGCGCTGGCCTCAGCACCTTCCCACCTGCCTCCAGAGCTGGGACTTCCTCCCACTCTGGGCCCATTCCCTGGAGCCCTGGGACAGGATGGTTACCGCGGCAACTGCCCACTGCTGCTGCTGCTGCAAGTGCTGCCAAGTCATCACCCCCGGCGACGAGGAGGCGGGGTCAGTGGATAAGAAGGACGGTGGCATGGAAATGCGCGACAACCCAGTTTTAGCCAACGGCAGCGAAGGGAAAGAGAAAGCACCGCCCACTCCAGTGATCCTCAAAGTGACAGCGTTATAGACTCTGTATTAGCATGCATTTACCTTATAGTTATTACACATTTATAACACATCCATATCAACCTCAAAAATGACGAAGGACGAGCTGGAGAGTGCCAGTGGACTCCAGAACGAGGGCAAAAACGCAATGTTTATGAATGTCATTTTGTAATTTATATGTATTTTTTGTTATTGTTGTTTTTTTTACCTTCTTTTGTTCTTACATTACACAGTTTTGCCATTTACCACAAATGTAGTTGATCAGCCAAAGCCAGACGTTTGCTTCTTTAGTTTTACCACTAAAGCTACAAGGCTATGTAGCTAACTAGTTTATGTAACAGTGTGAGCGTCACTGTTGCTGCTTCTGCTTTAAGCTAACAAGTGATGGAGGCTTATTCCCCACCAATTAACATGGTGCTAACTGCCTGACCATCATAAACACGTCTGTATGAGATTACTAAACAATCGATGAGTTTTGAGGTGTGTTGTAATTCATACATTCTATAAAGCTTCCATTAGTTGTTAGCTACATTAGCCTCATAGTTCCAGTGTTAAAACTAGAGAAGTAAACTTCAGACACCAAACATGTCTTGACTGCGTTTAGGGTATCGGGGAAAACTGTGTAAAAGTGCTTTGAATTTAAAGGAATGGTGTAAAGCTAATGTTGCTAATGAATATTCGATACGTATGCTAATTGGCGACTACTAGCACACATTAGCAACATTAGCACATGAGCATGCATGGTTGAACTCTTCCTTCGGGAATTCAAAAGCTACCCAAGGACTCTAAGGTTACAAACATGATTTGTACACCGTCATGTTTTAAAGGGAGAGGTTTTGTAGTGTTGTTGTACTATGGCTGGAGAATTTTAACGTTACCTCAGAAAGACGCTAATTTATAGATGAAAAGCTACACTTTTTAAGCACATGCTTAAAGCAATGTGAATTTCTTCTCTTTTCAACCTAAAGACAATTTTTTTTCGCTGTGTTATCGGATTTAATACACTTTCACCACTAAGTCCTCGTTCACACGTATCCACACATTTTTAAAAGCATTCCAGCCCTGTAGGGGGCGATAACACCTCATAAAATCTGACGTAAAATGCAGCAAGAAGAACGCTGCAAGCACACTGCACAAAATTCAGAGCTACAGCCACAGATCTGTAGTTGTGACAGCGGCGAGTTACAAACACGGTAGAACCACAGACCATATTTCACACAGAGTCTGATTACTGCCAGAAAATAAAAGCTCAAAAAGGTGATAGAAAACCTACTGCTTTCTGAGTTCTTCTAGCTTTTCGCTCCATTTGAATTATGGAGGTAGGATTTTTTTTCTCTTAACGATCATCAAGCCACACATATATTTAGAATAACTGAGGTATTTTTGAGGTGTGTGCAGTTGAGGTGATGCTCCAAGTGATGCCTTTGCACTGAGGTTTAATGAAAAAGCAATGCTAAATTAGTAATAGACATGCTATCAATCTCTATCAAACTTCAGAGCAATAAATGAAAATGGCAACAGGCATGAGGCAAAGCATTTTCAAAATACTTAGTTTCAGTGAACAGCGTTTTCGAGTAGACAAGAGGCGAAAACGCAGAGAAAAAAAACAAAAAATGTACAGATTACAGGTGTGGACGGGGGATTGTTATAACACATATGTTGAGTTCAAAAGTGTGATAACAGAAAATCTGTGTTGCTTATTAACATCTCGAGTGTATTACAGTGAAACACTGAGTGGTGCAAGAGATGCTCTCTCTTTATAATTTATAGTTTTTTATGGTCATGTGTGAAAGCCTATATTATAATTGTATGTTTAATGACACTTAATGACTTAGTTGTTTAAAAAAATGTGAAAAAATTTACACTAAGAATTAAACTTTCCTACTTATTATTAAATAAGCGTCTGTGTTTTCTTGACACTTTGAGTATTGGTGTTATCCAATTCAGATTATTTTGATTTATTTTACATATTTACTTAATATATTCCACACGGTACGCAGAAACCTTGAATTACATCGACTGAAGTAAGTTAGGACTGAACTGATTTTCGTACTGTATTTTTCGTGGCCCACCTGGATTATTTTACTATGAAAACATATGTTGCCTCAAATCTTTGAAATGCTGCCCTTACAGAAGATTAAAGAAGCGTTCGTAACTTTAATGTACTTTTATTCGGTCATGTTCGATCCCCTCTATTTGTCGATTCGTTTAGAAACTAATTTTTCTTTTCATTCTAGTAAAGGACTTGGGGATTTTATCCACCATGAATATTTGCTTGTGGGAAAATATGTATGCAAATGAGCAAAAAATAGCCCCAGCCCATTATCCCTCCTCCACCTAACTTTACTGTTGGTGCTATGCATTCCAGTAGGTGGCGTTCTGCTGGCATCTGCCAAACCCAGATTTGTCCAGGCAGTGAAGCATGATTATCAATCTGGAGAACATGTTTTCAGTGCTCCACAGTCCAGTGGTGGCGTTTTACACAACTCCAACCGACGCTTGGCATTGTGCATAGGTTGACGTCCGAGTCGAAGTCCGAGTCTTTGGTGTTTAAGTCAAAGTCGAGTTGCAAGTCTTTCACGATTTTCTCGAGCCGAGTCTCGTCATCAAATTTGTGACTTGAGTCGGACTTGAGTCGTATGACTTGGGCTCAAGTCTGACACGAGTCACAAATTTGATGACTTGCAACTCGGACTTCGAGACGGACTTAGAAAGACTCGAAACCCAAAGTGGAAGAAACGTGAAGAGTCTGACTGCAGATGGCTACGCAGTCGGTTACTTTTCATGTGGACGTTTTTGTTTTCTGCCGTAAACTGAATGTGCAGCAACACCGTCAGATGTCCGTTACTGGGTTTATGCTCGGCTTATTTTATTTTGGAAGACAACTAAAGCGTTAGAGCTCAAGTTCGCCTCCATACACTGGAAACAAGTGAAGTGTCAGCATCAATAAGCCCTCGTTCAACGCTTAAACTCTTACTGGAGAAACTCCCCAGGCGAACTGACCATTTTCCTCATGTGAGCAAAACTTAAGACCAAAATAAACACGGCTCTCGCTATTTGACTGATTTTAACTGCTTCTGCAGGTAAAACAAGTACAGCGTTCACCACAAAGTTTGTGTTGACTTCTTATTTGCCAGCTTCGTATTGGAATTTGTTGCTCCACCATTTAAGGTGGAAGGGAAAATTCGACTAAGAAGCTGGCGAAAAAAGTCAACTTCAGCTTCATACATTCACCATCATATCACTGTCTGTTCTGTAAACTTTGTTCAGCTCGGTCGTTTTGGTTTCTGTTGTTGTCTAAATTCAGTTCAAACTAGTGGTTGTTTTTAGCGGTGAGCTAGTTTTTGTTTTAATGCACCCAATGTTCCCAAAAATCATCAGAATTTATCTTCAAATATAAAGTTTTTATTTTAATTAAGTTCAATTGTACTTTTAAAATTCTTTTCATGTGTATCTTTGTGTATGCCAGTATGTCTATCACTCACTCTTAAAAACAATTGCACTTAAAAGGTTCTTTAGTAAATAAAATGAACAATCAAAGAACCCTTTGCATTATTAAAGGGTTATTGCATCATGAAATGGTTCTTCGGATTGGTGGAGCATGTTCTATAGGTGGTTCTATATATATCCTTTTTGAAAAGGGCTCTATAGAGCATCCAAAAGGGTTTCCTAGTGTTACAAGCTTGACATCGTAACAATAGAAGAAGCCTTTTGGATGCTCTATAGAACGCTTATCAAAAGGTTCTATATAGAACCATCTACAGCACATTCTTAAGAAGGCTTTCATGATGCAAAGAACACTTTAATCATGAAAAGGGTTCTTTGAGTGTTCATGGTTCTTTTTAGAGCTATTTCTTTACTAAAGAACCCTTGAAGAACCATCCTTTTTAAAAGTGTGGTTGTCTGTGTACCATGGATTTATTTTTTTAGGTGGAAGGGTAAAAAACAAACAATGAAAAATTAATATATTAAATTAATATGAAAAGGCTACAGTACTGTGACCAATATTCAGTGTTGTGGCCTTAAATTAGCTGAAGACTTGTTTAGGACTTGAAAATTAGGACTATTGGCTTGGGACTCGACTTGAGACTCGCTTGTACTGACTCAGGACTTGAACTGAGACTTGACTATCTTGACTTGGGACTTGACTCGGGACTCGAGTGTCAAGACTTACTTGTTACTTGTAACTTAGGCCCAATCCCATTTCACCCCTCGCCCCTACCACTCAGCCCTTAGCCCTCTGTTTTGTGCGTTCACGTGTAGGTTTAGGGTGTCCCTAATTTTTGTTGAGATAGAGGGGTAGGGCGAAGTGTTAGCGGCTACATGGCCCTCCAAACTGAGCTTTTTCAGGGACTCCAAATGGACTGTTATGAGGAAAAAGAAAAACCGGCAAAACGGCTGAACAAGAGACCAAAGAAACCCACAAATGTGAGAATTTTCTCCATTAAGAAATTACGATAATCACTGTTTTATCCAGTTTAATGTTGTTTCAGTGTATTATGGTCGTTTTCTTCATAACAAGCATAAAAAATGCTTATAGCATGCTAATGTCTCGGTGGCTAGCTAGCTAACTTTCCCGTACCACCTTAAATAGTCCAGCAGTTCTGACGCCTGAAGCGACAGAATGTAACTGCTGCACAATTTAAGTTGGAAAGGGAAAGTTTGAACAAGAAGCTGGTGAATATCTGACTTCAGCTTCATATCACCAAAGAATTAGGGGTGGGCGATAATAAATAATTGCCCCCCTTCCAAGGCATGTGATATCCTAAATGTAACTAAAGCCCAGCAGTGAGGAGCTGAACTTTACCCTCCTCTGCTATCACTGCAGATGGGCAGGGTCGCCTACAGAGCAGCGCTGTAGCTGTTAATGAAGTGATGTTTTTTTAAATTTTTTTTATTTGAGGGTCTCATTTCATAGGGCAAGATTTCAACCACTACTGCTTGTAACTCAGTTCCAAGGGGTTAGGGTGACACTCGAAAACAAGGGGTAGGGGTAAAAAGAAGAAATGGGATTGGGCCTTAGTGACTTGTTCCCACCTCTGGCATATAGTGATCTTGGCTATAGTGAGCTCGGCTGTGGAAACCCATTTCGTGAAGCTCCCAATGCAGAGTTCATGTGCTGACGTTGCTTCCAGAGGGAGTTTGGAACTCAACAGAGGAGAGATGATTTTTCATCGCTTCCGTTTCACCGTTTGACTGGGGAAGATGTAGCAGGACACAAATTGCAAAGGTGGCATCCTATGACAGGGCCACGTATAAAGTCACTGAGCTCTTCAGTATGACCCATTCTACTGCCGGTCTTTCTCTATGGAGACTGATTTGGTTGATTTCATACACCTGTCAACAGTGGGTGTCACTGAAACACCTGAACTCTTAATAAGCAGGGTGTCCACATACTTTTGGCCATGTAGTGTATATGGCGTTCTTAAATAGGCCTCTGCCTTAGAAGTTCCATTACTTGGAAACAATGCTTCTTAGCAGTGTTATAAATAGGATCAACGTCTATCACTGCAGTTCAGGGCATTTTGTGTCAACACAATGCAGTTTACTTCATAAAACGTTATGAATACTGACATAAGCTGTTCATATATACTAAACTATTGCTTTATAAATGTTATTCAATGCATGTGTCATAAAGTCTCTATGTAGGTTGCACTCAAATAAAGCATTATATGAAGGCGGAAGTCTATGAACTGGTTAATTATGCAATAATTGTGAGAAAACGAATGTGTAATGAATACATCAGGCAACATATTAGTTTAAATATAACAGCGATTTACTCCGTATAAGCTGACATGTCCCAGCATTAAGTTCCCGGGTG